TTTTTTTTTTTTTTTAATATCCTGTCTATATATATATATATTTGTATATATATATATATATATATATATATATATATATATATATATATATATATATATATTTGCCCCTCCGAGACAACCAAACTGGCAACGAGCCATAAAGAAGTTGGTGCTGGGGGGAGGGCTAAAGCCCCTCCCACCCAGCAAGAACGGCAGGCTGTGGGTCCCTCTGGGTTGGCGACCGCTGGGACTCAGGCGGGGAGGGGGGGTTACCCTTCATCCCCTCTGGGTCCCAGCGGCCGCCAGCCTGGCGTGATGCTTGTGGGGGAAAGCCCCCGGGAGCCCTGCAGGTGGATTAGGGGACCTGCAGCCAGCCAACCTCTATATGGGGTGGCGTCGGTGGGGGTGGCAGAGGTGGCGCCCACCCGGAGCGACTGCCAGAGGTTAAACCTCAGGCGGGCTGTCAGGGTGGGGGCTTGGAACGTCCGTTCCCTGCGACAGGATGATTGGTTACCACTACTGTCGAGGGAATTGAAGCGGCTGAGAGTTGGGGTGGTTGCTCTCTCGGAGGTGAGAAGACCTGGCAGCGGCACGATTAGTGTGGGTGGCTACACTTACTACTGGTCGGGCCGCAGCGATGGCCACCATCTCCAGGGAGTAGCCATAGCCATCTCCAGCCGACTTCAACCCTCGGTAGTAGAGGTCACTCCAGTCGATGAGCGTATAATGGTATTGAGACTGAAGCTGTCATTTGGCTTCATGTCTCTTATTGCTGTGTACGCTCCTACGGATGTATATAAACTTGAGGTGAAAGAGATGTTCTACGCCAAACTTGCATCTGTGGCAGACAGTTGTCCTCGGCAAGATATTCGTATTGTTTTGGGCTACTTCAATGCGGTATCCGGATGTGATCGAGCTGGCTACGAGATGTCTGTCGGTCCCCATGGCTCAGGAGCTGATGCTGGCAGCGAGAATAGCCTCCTTTTCCGTGACTTTGCTAGGTCCCAGAAATTGAGGATCTCTGGCTCCTGGTATCAGCGTTCTGACCCGCATCGCTGGACTTGGTACAGCGATACGGGTAGGGTGGCCAAGGAGATCGACCACATTCTTGTCAGCACTCGGTGGAGGATCCTCCAGAACTGCAGGGTGTATCGAAGCGCCGAGTTCTGTGGAACTGATCATAGATTAGTTGTGGCTACTCTCCGGGTCCACTTTAGAACCCCCCGTCGACCAAATGAACACCCCAGGGTGTTTCATCTGGACAGACTGAGGGAGGGTGAGTGTGCCCGGGGGTTTGCTGAGGCTATCTCTGGTCGGTTCACAGCACTCGAGGGCCTGACAGACCCTGTTGTTATGTGGGATTCCTTCAAGCGTGAAACGCTTGATGCAGCTCAGGAATCCATTGGTGTACGCCCTAGAGCAAGACAGAATACCATCTCGCAGGAGACACTGGAAGCCACAGAAGCTTGCCGTGCAGCTCGATTGTCAGGGGATCGCAATTTGCACCGTTCTCTGGCGCGCAGGACTAGGTCACTGCTGAGAAGGGATAAAGAACAGTATATCAGTAATCTTGCAGAGGAGGTCGAAAGCCGTTTCCTAGTAAATGACCTTCGTCCTGCCTCTGAGAAAGCTCTGAGAAAGCTGAACTCCAAGCCCTCCTCACAGACGACGGCAGTCCGCTCAGCGAGTGGTCAGGTAATCACAGATCCTGATGGGGTGCGTGTGCGTTGGGCTGAGTATTTTGAGCAGCTGTATCAGGTTGATCCACCAACAGTTAACTTGGATGCTGGGAATGTTGAGACTCCTCTGCCAGACCCACCCATCAGCGAGGATCCACCCTCCCTGACTGAAGTCAGGGGGGCGATCTCCAAGCTGAAGAGTGGTAAAGCAGCAGGTGTTTGCGGCATCCCAGCTGAATTGTTAAAGGCTGATGGAGAACCTATGGCAAGGGGCTTGCATGCAGTCCTGTCTGCCATCTGGCAGACCGGTACCATTCCCCCTGACCTACTGAGGGGTATGGTCATCCCTCTCAGGAAGGGGAAAGGGGATCGGTGGGACTGCAGCAATCACCGAGGCATTACACTGCTCAGTGTGCCAGGCAAGGTACTCGCCCACATCTTACTGAGATGTATCAGAGACCACCTCCTGAGGCACCAAAGACCGGAGCAATCTGGATTCACTCCTGGTAAGTCCACAATAGACCGCATCCTGGCGCTTCGAGTCATTGTAGAGCGCCGTCGTGAGTTCGGACGTGGGCTGCTTGCAGCCTACATCGACCTCAAGAAGGCGTTTGACACGGTGCATCGCGAATTACTCTGGGAGATCCTGAGACTGAGAGGAATTCCAACAAGGATTGTTGGGCTAATAGCAAACTTGTATACAGGCACTGAAAGTGCTGTATAGTGTGGTGAGGGCCTGTCGAGCTTCTTTCCTGTTAGCTCAGGCGTGAGGCAAGGCTGTGTTCTTGCACCAACACTTTTCAACACTTGCATGGATTGGATACTGGGTAGAGCTACTGTCCAAAGTCACTGTGGAGCAACTCTGGGCAATATCAAGGTTACAGACCTTGACTTTGCTGATGATGTTGCCATTCTTTCTGAATCTCTGGAAACCCTAGTGGCGGCCCTTGATGCATTTAGCAATGAAGCGAAGCCCCTGGGGCTAGAGGTCGCC